GGGGGGCGGGGGGGGTGTATTCGTAGTCGTGCATGCCGTAGTCGTTAGACCATTGACCTCGCATCCCTACAAAGCCGGGACGGAGCACGCCGGGTTCTTACCGGACCAGGCTCTCACATCACCAAGCGCGAAGCGCCGTGAGATATTCGGCGAGCAGCATGAAGGGTGCGCTGCATCCTGCTAAGGGTTTTCGACGTCTTGTGCTTACTTCCTTGCGTAGATGACAGCTGCGCATGACTCAATTTATTTTCTGGTGCTTTCACTTCCAGAGACAGTTGTAAGAATTGTGTAACTGCCTCGAGGGTGCTTGACCAATTTAATACAACGTGGTGCGATCATCCCCCTTGCGCGGAGTGAGGCTTATCCGCCCCGCACAACATGATCCACTCGACCACCATTCATGGTTACCGCCAAAAAAAAAAACGGAGGTAAAAAAAATAACGGTAACCTGGTTGCCGAGTTCACGAAGTGAATTGGCTCGTTTTACAACGTCGTTGCCAAGCGACGAAAACCCAATCCCTATGGCAAACACCGGGGGGGACGGTACGGCGGGGATCTATCTATTGACCGACATGATATTTTCTGCGGTGTAGGGTGGAGCAAATCGTTATTTCCACCTGCGACGCTAACTTTCACAATCAAGAACAGATGTGTCCTTCTGTCGTAAAAACAGAGTGGTACACACTCAGCGCGCCGGCGACTCAGCCGGGTCAATATATGTGTGTCTCTGCAGAGTTGTCACTTCGCCCCACCTTGGAGCTTGCATAGCTATTGTACATGGCTCATTCAAGCTGGGTGGTGCCTTGATCCGGTCGAATCGTCGCTCCAATTGTAGTACGAAGGAGCTCAACGTTAACTATTTTTTCTTTCCATGTTTCCCACCTCCTTACACACCTTACACTGGCTGACCGATCACGTACAATCGTGCTTGAATCAAACGTGGACATCGACTCATTCTCAGATTTCCACTCGAGGAAGCGTAGCAGAAACACCCCTCGAGGTGGATAGGCGCGTCATGGCTGTCAACTACTTTGGCCCGGTCGGCCTGGCGAAGGGCCTGCTGGAGGCGACCCGGGATCTCCCGCCGCCGGAAACACGGACAACCGCAAGGTCGACTGGGGCAACAGCGGTGCTAACAACACCGGCGACACCACCCGAGGTGACGGCAACAGATACGCCCGCTAAAGGGAGTGGTAGCGGGCCAACAACGATGGCAGCCGGAGGGCCGGGTGCAGGTTCGGGATCGGAGGGTGTCCGGTTCGTGGTGATCAACAGCGTCCAGGTACTCTACCCGAACCTAGAGCAAAAAGCCTCCTAAGAATTACCCTGATCAACATGTCTCACACGGCAACGCTTGTTCTGTAGACACGAGAGGAAGTTCCGAATATTCTGAGCGTAGCAGCTCGTACCTCTAGATGAAGCGTCATCCGGGCAGACGTAGGTACAGTAGGTCCCTTTACGCCCATGTGTTGGCCTTGAATAGACGAGCTATTTTTGTTTTGTTTCTGCAGGGCAAGTTCGGCATGGCCAATCGGTCGAGTTACGCGGCCTCAAAGCATGCTCTGGTGGGGTTCTTCGACAGCTTGAGAGCGGAGCAAGCACGCAGGGGAGTCGGCGTTCTCAACATCTTCCCGGGATACGTCCGCACTAGGTTCGTCAACGCATGTGGCGAGAGGAAAATTGGCATTTTGAACAGCTCCAAGTAGACGCTCAGAAAGTGCGCCCCTAGCACCCCCACCCACCCCCCAATTAGTTGAGTTGGTTGGTCGGGGTCATGGATGGCTTTCGTTGAGTTGTTGCACAGCAGCCGCCGAGCCCGGGCTGGAAGCTGAAGCCGCCTTTGTTTACCCCTTTTTCTGGTGTTCCGAACACGATGAAGAGCTTCCTTGGTCCCTTTCCGAACAAGTTACGCCGTGGATGGTTGACCTTTGCAACCTCCTTCTGGGAATGTTTTGTCTGTCTGCGTTCGTTCGCTCTTTGTAGCTTGTCGGTGAACGCGCTCACTGCGGACGGCACCAAGCATGCTCAAATGGACGCCCCCACTGCGCAAGGCCGTGACCCGAGGGAGGTGGGAAACGTTAACCGGGGCTTGCTTGTGCTCTGCCTGATACCGCTGCTGCTGCTGTTGCGTGAACGCTGTGGTGCCGACGTGCGACAACCTAGACAATACGGGTGGAGATTTTTGAATCGAGGCTTGTGTACTACTGCAGGCGTAAGAGCCGCTCCTGTGCCGGAATTGATTTCCAGACCGCATGGTCAGTGTCGAGGTCTCGAAAGAGAGCGAAGTGGCTCGCCACACTCCTCTCTTGCACCGCAGCCGACCTTTCTTACGCTCTACATTTCGGTTCGACGACATTTTCGCCTGCGCGTTCCTTCTTTCGTTGCGTTGCTTCGAAGGTCGCCGATGAGATCTGGCAGGCGGTGTCTCAGGGACAAGACGAGGTGGTGATTGCCGACCTGAAGACGAAAGTGGCGGTGCTGCTAAGAGCGCTCGCGCCCCGAGTGCTGTTCGGGATCATGGCCAAGCGAGCTCTCAAGGCCAAAGAGGGGGCACAATGAACAGAGGAAAAGAAAGAAGGGGGGAGGGGGGGGGGTACTCATGGTTGATTGCGTTAGAGCAGTGACCACGCATCGGTTTCAGGCGAAGCACTTATTGCTCCTGTTGCCTTTTATTGAGACCTTTCAAGGGATGGAGGGTATCTCGAGTTGTAATTTTGCCATGCGTTGTCGCGCGCGCACGAGAGAGAGAGCTGGGTGTATGCCACACTTCTTGGTTTGAACGTGTCCATACACATGCCCATTTTGGTTTCATGCCTGTCGAGAGTAGAGCGTGGAGCGTGGGTTTGTGTTCTTTCGTAAAACCGATAGGGTAGTCCCGCTGCGATGTGTTTGCGTGTATTTCTGAGTTTGCGGGTTCCGCCATGCGCAAGAGATGTATGGCTGTGATAATGGCCGCAGAAAAGAAGAGGTTAAAATGCATCAGTGGTGGACTCTGGTAGCTTAATAATAGCGGAATTGTGAACGAAAGAAGATGCGTACATAGGTAGCTGTTAGAATTTTCATCGAAGTGGCCACCCCCGCGTTCAAGCTTTTGCATGGCCACACACTACCAGCGGCAATATCCCACTCAAATAATCCAAGGCCTCATGTTCAACAAGTGTATTTTTTGCTGTTGCCGAAGCAGCGATTGGCGTGGAGAGATGGAAAACATTGGAATATCAATCCGAGACAGGTTATATTGTCACGTCAAATGCTCACCACGAGCACATTCTACAACCGACCCTGTTACCGGCTGATCGCCGAAAACTTCGTCAATACAGGAACGGCCGCACAGGTCGCTCCACATCCCAGGCGGCGCCGCCACGGCTCGAACCATGGCCCCTACACGTGTCGGGTGCGGCACGATCAACTCGCTCGCGTGCAGCAAAATACTCCGGTCCTCGAGGGGCTCCATGCTGCCCGCCCGGGGGGGGGGCACCGCCGATTCGTCGGTTGCATCCCCCCCCCTAGACTGGCACCAAGAAGAGCGACCGTACCGGGTGTCCCCGACAACGGGGTGGCCCATCTCGGCAAGCTGAACCCTGATCTGGTGCTTGCGCCCCGTGATGAGCCGCACGCGGACTAGCGTTCGCGGGTTCCCGGTTCGAGGGCAACGGAGCCGATCGGCGGACGAGGGGGACACGTCGATTGCTTCCCACTCAAGCTGAGCGAGCTTTCCCTCCGACGACGACGTTGGCCCGGCGGCCAGCAGGCGACCACCCGCACCGCCTCTGACTGGGGCGGATGACAACCCTGTCCTCGGCCCCCTGCCGCGTCTCGCCACGGCCCCGCTCGCGTCCGGAGACACCAAGAAGTCTTGGCGGATGCCGCGGCCGGCGAGGCCGCCGGCGACCACGGCGTGGTAGATCTTTTCGACGCCGTCCCGAGCTCGAAAGCTGGCCGAGAGGCGAGCGGCGGCCTTGCTCGTGCGAGCCACGCACATCACCCCTGAGACTTCATAACACCGCAGAAACGACGAGAATCAAACCCGGGTTGACAGCAGCAGTTTCAGCAAGAGCGGGGCGGGCGAGGGTACACGGTCAGAGGACGAGCTGAGTGTGCGCGCGTCGCGCACTGGAGCGTTGCAGAGTTCGTAGTAGGCAAGGTTATCGATTTTTTGGACAGATAGCGTACAACATAACGCATGGAGTAGAATCGTCGTGAGGTAGTATACAAAACCAAACGAATATTTGTCCTTATCCGCAGACAGAAAATAAGAGTCCAGGATTCAGCACAAATTGCAATGAAGGCATCATGTACATGAAAAACGTCCACTCTGTGTAGCTAAAGTCCGCAGAAAACAAGCAGCCGTTCCCCACCTGGTCGATCGAGGCGATGCACCAAGGCAACGAACGCCTCCCCAGTCTTGTTCGCGGCCACCCGAACGTACTCCCGAGCAAGCGCGGCCACGTCCGCGTCCCCGGTGCGATCGCTCTGAGACAGGAGCCCCGCCGGCTTGTTTACGAGAAGCACCTACCGGTCCCGTTGTTGCCCAAGCCAAGCGCGGCAATCAAGCCAGGACTGCCGTCAAACAAGGATAATGATATTCTTCCTGAACAGCGGCCACGCTGGTTTCTTGCCGTTCACATGCTCCATGAGGAGCAAACATTGAGATGAAACAGCGCGGCATGGTCACAAATTCATCGTCATGGGCATGGCGCTGTAGCATCTACAGGAGGCAGACCATGCGATGAACACAAGGCAGGACGAACCAATCTCGGTGTCCTAATGATGGCTTGTTGGTGCACCACACAACCGTGAGAATCGTATTGAGAGCACACCCCATGTAGAAAGGCAGGGAGAGAGAGAGAGAGAGAGAGAGAGAGAGAGAGAGAGACAGAGAGACAGAGACAGAGACAGAGACAGAGACAGAGACAGACCGACAGTCAGACAGACACAGCGAGTCAAGATCTGACAGTCCCGCCGCATCGGTACAAATATAAATATGTTCAATATGTTCCCGTTTTCGGGCGAAACTGACCTTGCGATTCACCCCTCTCGAGCTCCACGTTGCATCGTTCATACTTTGGTGATGTGGGCGGAGGGAGAGAAAGCTGCTGAACCAACACCCACCTATGACATACGACCCATAACACCAGTCCAGCTCACGTGATTGTCCATGTAGAGCACGTCCTCTACACGAAAAGATGGCCTCCGTGGCTGCAAGGGGCGTGCGCGGCTGCTAGCAGCGCAGGCTTGTCTCTGCACACGGGCTTGCATCAAGACCTTGCAAGCAGCCATACCCCTCGTCCCTGCCACCGCCATGTCTTTCTCACCACCTACCACAAACTGAACCTGTGCGCCTGCTGAACGACTGACGGGAAAAAATGAGGGAGGCGTTACGCTCGCGGCCACCAAACCAAGTTTTTCCGTCAGGGGAAGAGATCCTAACGTCTGACCCGAAGATTCACGCATGCATGCACGGTTTGTGATTCAAGTGTTCAAGTTCACATCTTCCGTCGACGGTTGGGTGAGTCAAGTGGCACCTCATCATCCATACCCAGGTGCAACGACGGCGAACATGCTTCTCGCTACGGAAGCGTTCTCCGCACGTGGTTGATCCTATTGCTGTCGTGAATTCTACCCCCCTGGTGGGCGTTATAGGGAGCGAGGCGGATGGTGCTTTTTCGTCGGCGCGCCCAAAGGCTGTCTGCCAGACCGCACATGATCATAATGTCGCCGCTGTATTCCGCCGACACTGCTGGCACGGCTATCGAGACGGGACGAACAGATACAATCGTGAGTAGGCAATCTGCACTGATTACGTCGCATGTCCGAAAACTGCCGTGTATCTGCCGGCACTCTCACCCCCCCCCCCCCCCCCCCCCCCCCCCCCCCCCCCCCCCCCCCCCCCCCC